TATATGATTCATCTATCTTGATAATTATTGACTGAGTTATAGACCATCTATAAAACATTTTATACCAATTTTCCTTTAATTATAATTGGAGTATTTTATTTTTCTTCATAGCTCTTCCCATTGTTGTACTGTGATTATTTTTTAAAAATAATCTTTGTAACTACTTTGATAGTTTTTAATTGGTTCCATCTCCATGTCATATTTCAATAACAATTTATATGTGTCCTAATAAGTGATCTTGATTTTGTATAAATGTTTCAAAATCTGTCATCTTTCTTAAAATCCTTCCTTCTTGAGACCATTTTTTATTCTTCCAGCAATTTGTAAGTACATCAGCCATGATACATTCCTACCTTCATTAAGCAGTTGTTGCTGTGTCTTTAGCCTGATTCCTAAGTCTCAATGCACCATGTTGTATTGGCATATGTGATTACATCTTTCTTACTATTGCTTGGGTGTCTCTAAAGTAAGAGACATTTGACAGCAAAGCTAATGGTGAATTTGCCAGACTTATTCTTGTTTTCAAAAAAGGTTCCATATTTTTTATCAAACTTTGTCTTATGTTTTTTTTGTAATTCTTCTCTTCATTGTTTCCTTATATCAGTGTTTCTCAACCTTGGCAACTTTAAGATATGTTGGCTGGGGAATTCTGGGAGTTGAAGTCCACATATCTTAAAGTTGCCACAGTTGAGAAATGCTGCCTTATACCATAAGTACATTGATTAAACTGGCTCCTTCTATGATTGATATTCTACTATTTGGGAATGTTATCCATTCGGTTATCCATAATAGACAGCTAGCATGATAATGTAATTTAAGATCAGGAAATGCAAGGCCACCTTTTAGTTCTGAATCTTGCAAAATTTTAAATCTTACTCTCTCATCATCCCCCCCCCCCCATTCATATGAATCTCTTTGCTGTCCTTTGCCAATCCTGCAAGGTTTTGTCTGAGATTGTAATCAGTGCCATTTGAAACAGAACATTTTTCTTGGGCAGTATGTTCATTTTTACTGTTGCAATAAGTGCTAGCCAAAAAAGTTTTAGGTTTTTTTGCCTTTTTTATTTCTTCAGATGTTCCTTTCCTAAAGCCCTGGCTGGGGTCAGTCTCCAGGAAAGCCTCTCAGCAAAGTAAAGCAGGGCCTGGTGAGCTACCTTGATAGACAGCAAAGTCCCGGATTCGTCTTTCTTGCTGGTAGGCCACTTGTCAGCAGCAGGTCCGATATTAAAAGACAGGATTATCCATCAGTGGATATTTTGCCCTTCCAGTATGTACTAATATGCAAGAGTTTAGGCAATTTAGCCTGCAGAGGTGGGTGTGTCTTTCTGTAAAAGGAACCATGTTGGCTCACCCCACCATACCCCTGCTTAAAATATACAGCTTTTCTGAGACATCTTCTTCTTTCTTGAAACTTCCTGCCCTGGATTAGCCAATCCAGATAAAACACAGTAACTTGCAATTGCTGCAAACCCAAGAAAGGAAATTAGATCCAATGATTCACTTCTTGTGAATCTCTCATGTCACAAAACCTTCAAGTCACAAGTCATGGTCGTTGTTGTTTTCTTGATAATATTTTGGTGCTCTCAAAACTTTGTTTTGATTTGATTCTGACTTTGGATTGGTGAAGGAAGCGTATTCCTAAAATGTTTCATTATTCTATGTTTTAGGACAAGCAGCTTCAGAAGCAAGTGATTTATTGATCTGTTTGTTCATTTATTTTCCTTCTAAGTCACCCAATAATTGAAGTCCCTTGGGCAGATTAAAACATGACTTCAAATATTAAAATGTTCTTTAAAAATAACATTAAAAAAGCAGATAAAGCAAAATAAATCCATGCTTGATTGTATGCTGCATGCCATAGTGAGTGCTCCAGAAAGAAAACATCGAGGCGAGATGGATGTACTGGCTATAAAATTAAACAAATCCTGCCTTCTGTATGTTGGGACTTGTGCTGCTACAGTATAACTTATATTTGAACTGAAGCCTGATTTGAGATTTAGAATAAAAATTGGGCAGCCTTA